ACGGAAAAAGGACAGACGCAATTGGCGATTTATATTTCCCACGGTGTATAAAAAGGTGGAAAAAGAAAGGGAGTCCAATAATTCTTTTAGCGATAATGACTGGGACCGCGAATTTTGTTACTGTGCAGTTCAGTTTATCGGACAATATTCCTACCGTTCGATTTCGTCCTTTCATGAACTTGCATTATATTCATTCCTCGACAAATTTCATTTTTTTCAGCAATTAACTGCACATTCCGCGCTTTAAGCATTTCAATTGTTTCTTGTAAAGCTTTAACACGTATGCGCAATTGGTTTACATCTGCCTGCAACAAATGCATAAAGTCAACGTTATTGAAAAGTGGGTATTCGTTTGAGAATGATATTATCGGAAAATACTTTCACAAACTACCCGTGCTGGGACTTCTGCACATACCTGCAGTAAAACGTTTTCCCTGTACTGATCATTGATTGATTCGACACCATCGGTGACTGTAATTCGTCCCTGCAATGATTTTCTCAGTTCTTCTGGAAATGCCCAGAGCTCGCATGTAACGATCGAGTTTTGCGAGCAGCTCGAGTTGATAATGCACTGATTTGGAATAAGCTGACCTGCTTGAAGTCTAAAAGTTCTGCTTCCAAGCGAGCTATGCGTGCGCGCAAACTGCCAATTAACTTGCTTGACTTGTCCTGATTTGCCACCACCTGAAAATCCAAAAATAAATGAAAGCGTATCTTTCAATGTCAGCTGTCTACTGCAACTCAACATCGTACCCCGTACAAGAATTCAATCCCACATATGCTGAAGTGATAAAGTGCTACTGGCAAACTTGTCTGCAAAATAGCAAAATGTATTTTGAAAATTCAATTTTGCTGAATTGACAGGCCAAAATTCTGGGAAAAATATACCTTGTTTTTGATATCTTTCGCCCGATTTGCATACTTTAAAGTATTTAACGTTTCCACATAGTCACAGTCCGATGGGCTGACACAAGCAATCATTAATGTTCGACTGAAATTCAAATGACCAAATCAAACCTTCCCAGAAGCAGCAAAGCATGTTCAGCTGTCACCAAATCAAGGAAACTTCTGAGCAGCAAATATTGCACTTTTGAAAAACCTGTTTCCGCCAATTGAATCCTGAAGCAAACGGGTCAGCTTTGAGTCCCGATACGGCACATGTACCACTTTGTCAGGCGCAGTTGGCGTCGTCAAAGCACAGATAACATTGCCCAATGACAACTGAAAACCGCGCTTCGCTGAGATATCGTCCTACGCAGTGGGTGACAGATATAAAGCAAAATAAATAGTGATGAGTTTACCAGTCCAAAATTGATATTGATGCCTTCTCTGGCACGATCGCCTGTAGCGCCAGTGCGTTTCAAACGTTCCGATCCGGCGAGATCAACAAAATGAAATTTGGCACTTAGAAATACAAGTTCAGTAGCGGCTGGCTCCTCGGATTGAGCGGACCCGTCATTCTGCTCATCCTACGAATCCATACGGGCATGAATAAGAATCACAAAAATCAATGCTGAACGAAAATGAGACCAGCAGAAGTGCGGTACCTGTACAAAAACTGTACGCTGTTGTTTGATTATCATTGTAAAGATAGCATGCGAACGAGATGACTGCTCATTCATATTGGTAGCAGCAGTTCTACGATTTATTGCACCATTCTTTAACACTTCCAGTGTCTGAAAGCAATGTTCGCTACACAAAAATCGAATTACTTCCATCGGCATTAATAAAAAAATAACTCAATTTTTAATTTCCCGACTGCTCAACAACTATTCACAGTATAAGCCCGATACACCTGAACTAAAATGTTAATATGGCTTTGGAGAGAAAGATGCTCAAAATAATTGCAAGTTCACCACAGTATAAGAAATAACTATGGCATCATTGTGCTGTTGCTTTCATGCACTTCGATCTTTTTATTTTAATTAAATTGGTATGCCAGATTCACTCAAAAAGACGAACGTCAGATCAGCAACTTCAGCTACGACGGCCAGAAAAAGATAGCTGATGCGAGGGCATGCAGCAACAGAATGAGGACCTGTCAACTTTTTTGAAATAAGCCTCTTGTCATACCTGTGCTGGACTCGTTACTGTAATTCGTGTTACTCCATTCAGAAATATTTCGCCATTAGCGTCTTCGTGAATTCGAAGACCAGTGGAGGAACGCTGGTGGCTTAACAGATCGTAAATTTCTTCATTATAAAGCTGAAAAGTTGAAAATGTTCGAATTTTTGACTGAAATTCATAAGCGACCCCTCCCCCCCCCCC